ATTGATTTTCACAACATATTTTCAATCAAAAATTGTTAAATTGCTATTAGCTATTATAGCAAAGCTTCTACAGTCATTCATATTAAAAACATGCACTCGTATTATTTAACTTATACTACAATGCTAAAGAAAACTGTGTGAAAAAAAAAGCATTGTTAAAAATTATCACAATATTACCACTACTAAAACATTAGAAGTCGGTAGTGCAACAATGAGAGTAGTGGCAAAGTTGAAAAAAAAGGCATTAAGCTCAAGCAAAGCTACTTACTGTGCAACCCTGACTAAAGTGTGAATACTACACGCCAGCCTCCCTAGCATTCCGTTCCAGAGGCTAGCCCTGGATCAGAATCTGCAGAGCCTCCCGACACCAGAGTATCCACTGAGCTCGTGCTCCCAGAAGAGTGATGCCAGGAAGTCACTCTAGAGTCGGAGTTATGAGGTCAGAGCACTATGTACAGTTGGAAATATAAGGCCACATTCACCAGTTAAATAGCAATTTTAAAAGTAATTTAATAAAATTTATGGTTAAGTGACAGGAAGTAAGTATACTGATCCCAATGTGATTAAGCATTCCACTACTTATGATATATAAAAGAAACCAGAAGCCCAAAACCCATTTCTAACTAAAGTACCTTTAAGAAAAGTGTATCATAATGCAAATACCACTGCAATGCATCAAACAAAACACCTCAAATATCTTTATCAACACTGTTTGCAACCAGCCTATAACTTTTGCTCCTTTTGTTTCCAGCATTCAACTGCAAAGAGCTTATCATAATCCTTGTATATCACTGTTTTAGCATGTTTGACATTAATGTACAGAACTCAATTTATTCAAACTGACGAATAAGTTACATGCTGTACATTATATAGGAACATTGCAGTTTCTCTACTTCAGAAAGAATTGTTTGTTGATGATAAATTCAGTGTCTGAATATGATCATCAGAAAATAAAAATCCTCAAACTATGAGAAAAAAGTCAATATGCAATAAAATTAACAAACACTTAGATTTAAATTCATATACTATGCAAAAGCCTTTCAAGTGATTAAAAAAAACTATCGTGCTAGTTAAAAACACTAGGAATATGCTCAGATAACAATAGTAACACCTACCCTGAAGTCACCCGAATTTTGGGTGTTGAGCTTATTGTGCTGCATGCAAAGATTAGTGCTTACAATTAGTTTCCACATCATGCAAGATTGACATTTAATAAGGAATAAAAATTAATAATTAGTTTTTTATAACATTTCAACATCAGATATACATGCATGTAGTTGCCCAAAAATCCAGAATACACACGCAGACATTGACGTACAAAAATAATCAATTCAATACATCCACAAACAACACACATACATACACACATTATCAGTACATGCAAGAAAATGAACACATGTACATATAAACTATGATTCAAATACAATAATATATTTTTAGCTGTCATACATAAACCTAGGTTGGATTTCCCTAGACCTGCAAAAATGATAATTAACATGACTTCATCTGCCACTTCTTCCACAATCTATCAAGAATTATAAATGATTTGTAAACATATCAAGCTTACAAAGTTTGGAACCAATTTCTTCTGAGCTGAATCTTGATAATTTTTTAAAAACTAACACAATATTACACAAACCTATAAATAGACAAATATATAAATAAGTAAATCTATTTTCTTACTTTCTTGTTTGGAAACACCTTTCACAGTAAAGCCTACAATAGCTCATATAAAAGTATAAGTAAATAAACTGGTGAATAAATAAATTCCACTTTCAAAACCAAGAAAGAATGAAGAATTGAAAAAAAATACAAAGACTAAAATCTATTATGCAATGGCATTCATACAAAAAATATAACATATTATAAAAATGCATATATTCTATATATATATCAATATGATACATATTACTACAATTACAATTGTGTGCACAGAAAGTGAGCAATGATATATCTTTAGCTCTTACAATACCTAAAATCTGGCAAAATTCAATTTTTTTCTTTCATTGACTTCTTTTCCATACCATGCATTCATACAGCTTTATCTTTTCAAATGTATATAAAAAAAGTAAATAAATGGTTAAATAATGATGCATCATTCACCTTCCACCTATTCAACTCAATATTCAATTACTTTACCTCATTTGTCTGGTAAGATGATTGACCGTAATCATTGGTGATAAACCTTCAATAAATTTGTTATAATTCCTCTCCAGCTCCCTGTGGTACTCCCTCATGTCAGAGCCAATCAGTGTTTTGTTCCGCCGTAATGCATCTTGGCATCTGGAAGAATATATTGCAAGAAAATCATTGATGATGCCTTTTTTTTTTTTTTTTTTTTTTTTTTTTTTGGGGGGGGGGTCATTTTCAAGTTCTAGTAAATAAATAAATAAATGATACAGAAAACTAATACTATTTTTTGTTCAAAAAGCTCACCTCTTACTGTCCTTTATTACAAAAACAAATTGTACACTCATACTCATAGTAAGTTAACTCTATAAAACTGGCATGAAAGCTTTTGGTCATCGTGTAACTACCAATATTAATGTTAAATCTTAAGAGCATACTTTTTGGAGAAGTCCTTGAAACAGAGTCGAAGTTTATTTTGAAGTCTGTTAGGGGGCTTCCTGCTGTCAACCAGATCTGATAGGAAAATGTGAGCAACCTCCATTGGTCCCTGATTCACCGTTGTTCCAATGCACCCCTGTAAAAAATAAAATTGATTCCCATGTGTTGTTTTCATCCCAGAACAAACACATAGATAACCTTACCAATATGTAAGATTTCCTTATCTTCTACAAAACTGAAATATTACAGACTAAACATTCCAACAATCACATAACGTAGGCCATTTTCAGAAAGTGATAAAAATTGCATAGCTTCAAATAAGAATAGTCATGTATACATTCTATATAACAATCAAAAGTGTCACACTCCACGTTAATTTGTAAACATGTAGATCTTTGACACAATTCACTGTGTTACCTGAAGCACCATCTGTAGAATCTTGTGATCTGGAGGATCTTGGTTGATGGCTGCAGATAACTCCTTTGTCTTCTTCTGTATGTCTTCAATAGCAACTTCAATTGGAGTCAACACCCACTGAAACAAGTTTATGATTAATGTATTATAATCATACTAAAACCATGGATGAGTGTAAAAAAAAAAAAAAAAAAAAAAAAAAAAAAAAAAAAATCACATGTTTACAAATTTACTTTAACAGAATTTCAGTACAGTTTTCATCTAGGAAATCAAAATAATTAAAAGTCATTTTGAAAATGAAAATATATAAAAGAAAACGGTTCAACATGAAAATATAGACAGATTATCTATGATACTCTTTCAGCTACAAATTTAAACACTCCACACAGAAATACAGATTCTAAATGCCACAACACTGTAAAAAAGAAAATATTACACATCATAAATGTATGATCCTGTGAGACTACTGACATTGTTGCAAGTTCACTACTGTCATGCTTTTTAAGCACCAAATTGTTGTTTACGCAACAAAATGTGAGACAAATGAAATCTATAGACTGTCCCATACAACTTAACAATATTCAGAAGTTATCTGAACTCATTTATTTCAGATTTCAGAGATCAATACGAGAGAGATTGGGGTATTTTGATTTTTTGGGGGGCAAACATGATAGGACAGACATAGCAAAATTAATAAAACTTGTCTTCGTAGATCTTGGATGTTATGTACAACTGCTATGCACCATACAAATTTCATCAGTGCTTGAGGGACCATAAGAAATATATATATTTTATCAAAAACTCCCTTTCTTTTCTGCTGCAAGATTTGATATGCATGAAATAATAAAAGTAATACAACACAAATATAAGTACTAATGCGTCAATGAAATAACTTACAGACATTCTGTCAACAACTTGGATCCTAGTCTTCACATATGGGAACATATGCTGTGTTGTCAGGATGGTCTTCCTCTTATATTGCTCATGAAGCTCTCCATGCGCTCTCCCATCAGGTGTGAATGGCGTTGAGAAGATGAACCGTTCTTTGGAAAAGGGAAGTTTTAAAGTCAAATGAGCATGTACTTTAAAACTTTACTTGGTCAATTATACAAGTTCTATGTTCACAGTATTAGCAAAATCAGTGTCCAGTCATAAAGACAACATGATGACTTACTAATGTTATAATTTTTCTCAAAAGAAGTAACTCTGTCCCTGTATTCATATTCATCAAAATAAGGCTCAACGTAAGTGATCTGGATACAAGCTTTGTCGGAATCCAGTTTGGTGGCATCGACTGTGTTACTGTCCTTTATCATCAAAATGTTTTCTGCACCAAAACGGTCACTGTAAAAGGCCTGTAAAAATATAAAGTTATTAAGTAAATAATTCATCACAACAACTAGCTATTATCACATACTTTACCAAATTATTTTTTTCAGGACATTCAGGCATCAAAGATAGAGATTCCATTATCATTCTCCTATTAAAAAAAGAAAAACCTTCCAGTACCTCTAATCTGTGAGATATCTCAGGTAACTTGGTAAGCATAGGTTCCTTGTAGATGAACTCTTCCCCATCAAGATCACCAAACTTGGATCCATAAAAACCAACTCTGAAGTATGTTCCAAATATTCTTCTTCCCTCTAGTGCATCAATCTTTGAAAAAGCGTCGTGAAGTTTTGAGTAGATGTTGATCAGCTTCTTCCAATCTCTGTTCTTCTCAGCAATGGGAGTTAAGATCTTGTAGACCTCATTCAAACATTCAAACATACCAGCCTGGAATAATACAAAAACATGTATATTACTGGTACTTAACAGGACTTTATCTAAGGAAGATCCAGGTAGGAGGTAACAGTAAGAAAAACTATAAGCCTCCTATATCTATATTCTTTGTAATTTCTGATGAAATGTTTATACTTATAGAGATGTCATTATGGATAATGTAACACAGAGAATTACAGTTACTGCACTTTTTCAAAGACAATAAAATAAAACAAATTGAATATGCTATGCTAGTGTCACGAATTGCCCCATATATTCATAACTTACCAATCCACTGATATAACCAGGCACTAGGATTTATCAGTATACTTCATTGTTAAAGAAATAGTATTTTCACATAATATTCCCACTTAACTCACTCATCAGCTGACATCCTATCATGGTTAGACTCACTCACACTGAACAGCCTCTCAAAAGCAGACTTAAAGCCTCTCAAGCTTCATCTCCTATACAACTGATTATGCAATTGCTAAGAATACAGAAAGTGGGTTGAATATTTGTCTCATTAAACGTGTAAGTAATTTTTCTAAACTCTCTGACTCCATACACTTGCAAGTATGGTGCTAAGAGAGTGATCAGGGTCATGTTGTATTTACTTCTGAACTCTGCCCACAAGTCATTATTACATTCTTCACAGAACAATGCAGCTGCATGCTATCCATGCTGCGCAAGCCATAGGTGGCAGTGGCCATGAGGTGGAATCTGTCATCTCACACTGTTAGCCTACAGACACCCACCTTCACACTACAGCCATGTTTGGTCATTCATACAACTAAATGCGAGTATAAAGTAACTGCAAAATTAAGAGGTAAAGTTGTGAAACATGGAGGGCAAGTTAACTATATTACCTGTAAAATGCATTCCAATTGCACCCTATCAGCAATATTTAATTTTGCATCAAAAGATTTCAAATACATTCATGCAAAGCAGGTGGACCAACTCCACAGTGCTACATGAAGTTGATGTTAAGCTTCTATACTCAAAAGCAATCAATATTTTCCTTACCTGCTGCAAAGAAGAGCTTGCCTGCTCCAAAAGCCCAACTAAACCATTTTCTGTGAAGTACTTTCCTGTACATATACCCTCTTCATCTGGGCTTAAAACATCATCAGACACTGCAAGGAAAATAATAAAGTACATCACTCTTGTAAATCTTTCTTGTTCAAAATTATACCATTAACCTTAACACATAAGCAAAAAATAACCAGCTGCTTCAACTAGTTTGTCTTTTAACTGATTAGTCATGACATACATTTAAATCACATCCCTAGTGCATGATCAACTTGATAAGGAAAAAATGAAAATCTGTGGTAAAACTAACATACTTTAACTGTAGTCAATCATTTATGCAGTTTCAGATTTATAGAAATATACATTTAAGTGAACTTTATAAAATATTCAAATCTAATGCTAAAACATATGTAAAACATTGCCAAGCTTTTAGTTGGCTTTAAAACAATACCAAGCTTTTAGTTGGCATTAAAATGATACAAAGCTTTTAGTTGACATTAAAACGATACCAACACAATTTACATTGCATAAATAGTAAAGGTTTATTAAGAACTGAATCATTAAATATTTGAAAATAGTTGAGGTCCTATCACACAAGACTGTCACTCCTGCTGGAATGATATCTCATCACATCCTGTGCAGTCAAGCTTGCTCTAACTTATGCATGCTAAACAGTTGTTTTGCATGTTTGGCTTGGGCTGTGGTCACTGAGGAGAAACAACCATTCAAATGTTGCCTTAAAGCCTCTTATTTTAGCTTATCATCTAACCAATCCTAACCAGATCCATTTTTCTACTAAATAAATCAAATGAAATATTGTACAGTCAAAATTTCTAGTCTTGAATCATTACCTGCACTTTCCTCTAAAACATTTGGTGAAAGTTTACAGAAGGTAACAGCTCCAGTTGGAAGGTGAGGACAATCCTCCAACATGTATAAGTATTCTGACACAAGAGCTGCACTGTGGATCAGGCACATGGCAGCTTCAGCATGCTGAACTCTCTCACTGTGCTTCTGAGCCATGCTGGCTAACCAAGTCAAGCGCAGGTCTGGGGAGTTTTGATAGCCTCGAGCTATGGAAAAGAAAAAATCCATTTAGCAGTACTGAATTGATTGATGCATATATTCACAATCTTAAAGTGGTTTACACTTTGACAAACATCTAAAATGTCAAAATTACCATTATCACCATCATTATTTTCAATGTCCTTGATAATTACCTATTCTATACATCAAGTCAAGCAGCATCTCAGGATCCTCTTGGTACTCTTTCATCTTGACAGTATCAGACAAGATCATGTGCAAGTTGAACACTAAATCTCGAACCTGTGGAACATACATATTTCATGTAGCATGAAAGAAGTAAGCAGGTAACTGCTTCTGCATAAACACCTGTTTAAGGACAAGTAATCTGTAAATATAACTTGTTTCTTACAACAACCTGTCGGCAGCGCAGGTTGTATTACATAATAACTAATACAACTGGGACTCATTAAGGACGTAGCTACAGGCTCATTTTGCAAAAAACATAATAGTTTAATGTCCACTTATACATTAACCCAGTCCTACGTGGAAAAGGGTCACAAACACAAGATGAATAAGTACTTATGAAAAAGAAAAGATCAATAAAGTAACATATTGCAGTCTCCCGATGTTCCATCTCTCCTTACAAACTTTCCTTTGAGATGCATCCTACTATTTTTCATAAACCAATTAAAGTAAAAATTCAAACCATTTGAAATAACTCTAAATGTAATTGGCTTAACAGGAGATTTAGATTTTTTTTCATGTAGTTTCATGAAGAACAAAAATCAATTAATAAAATACTCTTCAAACCTGTTCAGGGAAAGAAGTATCTTGCAGGTCAGCATCTTCCTCTGCATAAGTAAGGATGGTCTTCAAGGAACGTCGAAGATAAGCCTCATTGAAGGTTTGTGAGGTTCCCACCAGCGAACTCAAAGACATAGTAACCTGCATTTTTACTCGGGCAAAGTTCTGTGAAAGGATAATTCAAATATAACCGTAGGAAAGAGTATCAAAAGTAAAGAATGCAAAGAATAGGTTAAATATCAATATAACCAATTCAAACACCCCTCAAGATACTTACGTTGCCAATCTCGAAATTATGCCTCATGAGTAGGTATAGAGATGCTGCAGCATGGGATCGTATTGTGCAGATGCAAGATGAGCAGTGCTTCAGAAGCTGCAGGCACAAGTCTGCACACTGCTCTGTTTCCTCATCAAACAGGAGCCCTGGGAACTATAAATAAAGAATGGAATTAAATAAAGAGTAAGAACAGTAATAAATGCATCAAAATCTTAAGTAGACACAAAGTAAAACAAAATAATACAATGCTCTACTCATACCATCTCACTGATTAGCCACACTAAACTAATGAAAATTGCAAAAAATGATGATTGCAATACTTGTTAATAATCAAAAGTTTTTTTCAGAAATTGGTTTGCTTTTTAGCCACTTCCCACATTGTCATAACTAGTAAAGTGCTTCTACATAATGCATGTTTAAGAAATGGTACTTTAAGAAAATTCTAGTAATTAATACTATTATCCTCATAATGCATTACTCTACAAAGAGATAAATATCAATATACACTACCTCCACAGCCCCATTATAAAACCTTTACAACAAACCTTGGCAACCAGAGCTCGCTGAGTGTTGAACATATTTGTCAGTGATGTAGTTGACTGGTTTGAAGCAAGAGCATGAAGCAGTACTCTGAATACCACACTTAGCAGACCCTGGAGGTGATCTGCATTTGTGACCACCTGCAAAATACAAGAGCAAGTGAATTATGCTAAATATTGTCATCATGTAATATATTATTTGCTCAAAAGATGAAGAGATTGAAAAGCCTGCATAAATATTGGCAACCCAAGTTGGAATATTGGCTCAACATCTTATCTTCCATCGTTAACCTTGTTAGCGGAATCTCAACAGACACTACACAGTAGTGTCTTGATGTGTATTGGTGATGCAAATATGGGAAGGGAGGGATTTTGGGGAGCAGGAGCAAAGGAGGAAAGGGAGCAAGGGGAAAAGGGGAGGAAGAGGAGGGAAGGGAGGAGGGAAGGGGGGAAGGGAGGGAGGAGGAGAGGAAGGGAAAGGGAGGAAGAGGAGGAAGGGGAGGAAGGGAGGGAGGGAGAGGAAGGAAGGAGGAAGGGAGGAGGGGAGGAGGGGAGGAGGGGGAGGAAAAGAACAAATTTTACCTGTACAATGTTCTCCAAAGTGTCGAGAATGATCATATTAGCTTCACTCGCCAGATGGCCCTCAACTTGTGATTCCTGTTCTAACTCCTGATGAGTTGACCGTTCCGTATCCTGCTGTTGGTGGCGCCAAGGGAAGGTCTCCTTGCGCCAACGGAGTCGCTCACCAGTTCCAGAAGGAGACGGTGGGTTGCGCTCTGTCAATTTGATTAAAACCACTGAGTACAAAAATCAACATCTTTAAATCAATTCAATGCACAGCTTACTTTAACTAGAATTCCAAATATAGAATATACATAAATTTCTTTGTACATAGTATAAACAATATACACTGAGGAATGGATCCTACAAAGAGTGAAGTATTGAAAGAGAATTAGTAAATGCACTATAATCTCTAGAAATTGTTAAGTTTAATCATAACATGGCTGTATCTTTACTGTTATATAATCACAAGTATCAAATCAAATAGAACACATTTTTTCCTGTTAGACATTTTAAACCCATTTTGCTGCTGGGTAATCATACTGTCTACTGTAGTTTTTTTTTGTGTGAATTTTGTTTGCGGATCAATGGCTCCACAAGCGCTCAGCCACCAAGGAGCCAATTAGTAGACCCTCAGCTGACTTCCATCATCTTTAAGATTTGGGAAAATACTTTTTCTATTTTTATTGGTGTTATTCTAATTATTGGCATCATGTTTATCATAATGTTATGAGCAATAGCAATAAGCAAATAAAAGATTCTTTTTGAATATCAAGAAAAAGGATGATCAGATGAGACAGGTAGGCCTAGTAAAGGACGTCTCGGTGATTAAGCGCTTGAGGAGCCATCTATGTTATAAAGATACTGAATAAACAAAAAAGCAACACAGTGGACATGGCATGTATTTTTGCCATCCTGGCATTAGAGGGTTAAGCTACAATAATGGTCATTATCATTATCATCATTATATTCATCATCATCATACCAGTGATAATAACAATACTAATAATGATAGTGATTAATAACAACAAAATATAAAGATAAATGAAGTTGTGATTTCTCTCTTTTTTACAAACCATTAATTACTACATGAATATAAAACAGAATTATTCCAATATCAAAATCAGATAAACAAAAAAACATGCTGCAAATCTATTTACACTTGTAGGGTTAATACAACAAATGTTAAAAAAAAGACAAAATTATTAAATTTAACTTCAGTAAGGACATAAAAGTAGCTTTAACATTATACCCTACAACTGGTTATTTCCTAATATCAGTTCCATGAAGTCTGGAGGGTTTCACTTATACCTAAAGTAATACAATTTTATGAATGAATTTAAATAAAAAAGGAATGATAATGAAATTAAATATGTTGCGTATTAGCCAGAAAAAAACAATTGTTACTCAATTTTTTTTCTTTCTGGTTTGGAATTTTCTTTATTTACGGTAGTGCTCTTGATTTGACCAAATTCATATCTCAAAAATTATGTAATAACAACTACAAATCAATGATCATTATAAACTAGTAATGTTTACAGTAGACACAATTAGTATTTCTTATTTCTTACTTTCTTTTGAGAGGAAACAATAAGCTTTCATCATCATAATACAGGCAGCAGATACAGAGTAAATTGCAAAATAGTCCATCCTACGCCTTGAAAGATTTCAATTGCTCTCATACTTTTCTCAAATGTTTTCAAAGTAGCTCTCTTTTACGGACCATAAATTTTGCATCCACCTTAACTACAAAATATCAATATCAACTCCAGAGCTAATTGACGCGACTTGCACCGAATTGAAAATAATGAAAAAAGTTTATGCAAAAAATAAACATCACTTAATTAACCAGAACACATGCAAAAAGCTCTTGAGGGAATATGCTGATATTTCATCTTGTATATGATCTCATTCACAGTGCTTTTATGTTCTAAAAATATAGACCATGCAAATGGATTATTTGCTTATTGTCATGAATATAAGCATAGTTTTCTTAAGCAATATTTCTTAAGGAATAATATTTATTTTTTTACAATAGTTCATAGTTAGAGGTTCAGATGGATACAAACAAGTCCTATTTTTCTTTAGTAATTTCTAAGTTCAAGAAATAAATAAATGCAAATTAACAGTTTATCAGAAAAGCAAAACTAAGTGATGCATGGCTATTTTGTTAAAGCGATTCTTTTTGCATATTTAGTTTAGCAATTTTCATATATACAATAAAAGATCCAACTAGTTTTTACACTAATTAATTTATTCATTACTATCTGCTTTTCAATCTATCTCTAGAGAAAACCTACTTGCATTGCAGATAACGTTCACTTGTTGCAGTGGAATCTAACGATAAATGACTCCTGGTGAAAATACCTGACTAAATTGTAACACTCAATATAAGCTGGGATACCTGCATGCCACAACTTCTCTGTCACCAGAATAAATGCTACTATAATCATGGCAAACATGCCTTGAAATGAACTTTGTAAGCCACTTTCACATTCTTCATACAGACTACCAAACGGTATCTTAACATTTTTTTCTTTCACAGATTAATGTCCCTTCTAATCTTTTAATTCCCATAGAGAACCAGGTACTAAAATCAGATTTCAGTATTTTCTCATTTAGTTATAACGAGAAATATCAATGCATGAAAATTACCATGCTAGTCTATCTGCCATATTTCCCAACTAACAAATGAAAAAGGGGCAAAATTTAACAGCACCAGAAGGATACTATTACTGACTACCTGGATGCATTGTAGACTAATACTCATTCTATTTTCAACTAGAAAGATAGTATATCAAGTTTCTGTACTTCCAAAACATATTCCTGTATCACTTTAGTTGATGATACACACTCAGAATGGAATTTCTCAATTTCACTGCCAATATCATATCACAAAACTTGGGTAGGAATCTTAAAAAATGAAAAAGGAAATCACACTATCGAGTATGTCTTGCAGGAGGAGTTGATCCCTTTAACCCTTTTGGTTCTCTTATAGCCTATTTCAACTATATGTTTGTGTTAAAGTTTCTTGTGCTATATTCATTAATAAAAACATCCATACAACAAATTTCCTACATATACCTCATTCTTTCTTTCTATATTCATAATTTTTTTATTGCATAAAACATCACTTTCTTCTGCATACTTGACCAATATTATCATTCCGCCATAGTCAAGTTTTAGTCTTTAGTCCATTTAATGGTGGGATATCTTTTTTAGATTTTTTCTATGTGATTTTCTACTACTCCTCTCATTTTTTTCCCCAATTTTGTTTTGTTTGTGCATTAAAAGTGTACAGTGAAAATAAACCTTTGAAAATCCACTATACCTCTATCTAAACTGTATTACAAAATAAAAGTACTTTAAGGCATCAACTGAGCCTTTGAAACAATTACTTACAGTATCATACTTATTGAATTTAATACAATTTAGATATATAAAAATAAGAACATAAAATCAATAAAATAACATACTATAAAGTGAGTGGAAACTGCTGTTTGTGTGAACAGAGAGAAAAAAGGACGTCAAATCTAAATTGTTGATAGATTAAGAAAAAAAAATCTGAAAGGAGGCTCTGACACTGAAATGGAAAGTTCATCATAACATAACTACCAACATCTACAGTTTCTTCAATCATTATCAAGTTTAAGTTTATAATCTAAACTATGTCACAAGTTTTATCTTCTTAGCATGTTTAAGAGGGCCACATAAACTGCAACTTAAGACATCAAAGGCAGTTGCAATAACACAGCTTTTATGAACTTAGTTCCTGGAAACCAATGAAAAACCAGAAAAAGACAAATAAAAGAGACAGATAAAAAATATTCTAGTATGTAATATGTGTAACTATCTCACAAAAGAAATGATGCATAACTCAAGAAAATGAACAAGAATTAAGAAGCTCTGGAAAAAAAAAATTATTTATAAAGGAGGAGTGTGAGGAAAGGCTATCGAAAAATGCATTCCGTCAGTAATTCAAAATTGAATGTATATATGAAACAATAAAAAATTCATGTATTCCAAATCAGGAACTGTGCCTTAACCTACAACTTATCTACCACTACAAGAAATCTTCCTCCAGACCCCAAGCCAGAGAGTGGGGGTTGTGAGAATGTTAGCAGTGCGAGCCAAGGAGTTATGTAGAACCCCTGGTAAAGTGCACAGGCAGCAGACACAGCCACAACATTGCTGGGTTGAAGGGTTGAGCAGTTGATTGAACGAGTGAGTATCTCACTGATCTGCTGCATGCGACACAAACCTGCTCCCTGGATGTAGAACTGTGATAATCCAACAACATGAGGGGTGTTGGAAGGAGTGTTACCTCGACGTCGGAGCATCATTTCCGAACGTGCAGAATTCTGACCCATGATGGCTTCTTCCAGGCGGCTCTTCATGTCTGCTTTGCATCGTAGACTTGGCCCTCCACCTCGAAGGGAGATCTTCTTTCCCTATAAAATATGTGTTGGTAAGATAATACATGTTTTACATATCAAATCTTGGGTATGAACTACAATTTAGTAACCATTTGTTTTTTGAAATAGAAGAGTTAAACATAGAAATATAAATATATGATGTTAAGACTAAGGTGGTGTAATGAGATGTTTATTCATAGCTTCATAACAATTATCAATAGTAAATATATATTCCAAACAGAAATCATACTATTTATTTACTATTATACTTCTCCATCTCAATGTTGAACAAATGATCTCATTTCACTCCTTTAAATGAAATATCATCCTTAATTTATTCTGTACTCTCTCACTTCACTCCCACCATCTTCAAAAATTATCTATATGTACCTCTAGTACCCCACAACTTTTTGAAATATATTAACCATTATGCAGATATCTTCATTAAAAAAAAAAAGGCAGCAAAAGTTCATTTCTTTTCTCAATTTGCAAAAATAAAAGAAAATATTCAAAATGACCAAAAAACTATTTCAACCACCAAAAAGCACAATAGACAACCAGAAAATATAAATCACAAAACATGTATATACAATATTTATACCGTTTTCCTCCAAAGACATAACTGTCTTCCACTAAAACGTTAAAAATCGAATGCTTGCAGTTTTTCAAAAACCCAAATGATGCCCTTACGCTTTTCTAGAAATATATCTTTTCATATTTCCACTTATCATCATATGGACTGAAGAGTTACTAAAAAAGTTTACTTATGATAATTTCTCAGAAGAGGAGGTGCCCAAGTTTCCACTGATTCTAGACATCTATGCAATGCAAATTATTACAACCTATGACAACACAATCTTATATGCTAGTTCATGCATGAAGCCATAATAGTCAACTAAAGAAAAATAAACTCAGTCTAAAAGGGAATCCCTTACTCATTTCATTAAAAAAAACAGGTCTTTACAACTGGTCACCACATTCCTTTTAATCACTGCTAGTTTATATTAGAACCTTTTTTACAATTGAGGACAATATGCAAGGATTCAATGACATCATACTTGGTCATTGAAGAATAAAATAAAATGAGTAAATATTAAAAACTCAAATATTTTTCTTGAACTAGTCTCAGTGGTCAAAGGGAATACTGGAGCTTTAATCAGTACACAAACAAATAAATGCAAGTGTATAAGTTTATGTAAATGGTGAAAAAAAAGACTAGAAGCAACAACGATGTTTATGCTCACATATTCAGTGACTTCTCCAATAATGAAAGATAAATCTAAGAAAACCAAAACAAGTACCAACTGGAAAAGGTCTTTCATTGTGAGAGTAACTTAAGAGTCAATTCAGCATCAATTCTGATTGGATTCGTAAAATTTAAACAAATGAATGCAACCCCTCATCACAAACAATGTACACTTGTTGGGCCACAGCAACAACTGACAATGAACATTCAAATAGAGAAATCTTGGATGAGAAGAGTTAGTAAAATTGCACGATAAAATCTAAGCCTAATCTGCACCTTCTAGTAAGTGTAAGGTGTATTGGACAAACTTGAAGCATGTGAATTTCAGTTGATATATGGAGGTTTGGTTAGAACAATGGCTTTACCTAACATATGCGTGGGCAAGAACTAAGTAGGTAAGAATAAAAATATCAGAATGCAAATGCACTTGTGTGTGTAGATGTAGATTTAAACACTGGTGTGTATTAGTAAGAGCATGAATTATAAACAAGGCATATGAAATAACATACTTCTCACCAGGATTTCTCCAGAAACAATGCAAACAGAAAATTTAAAGGACCTGCAGATGTAAACTCTGAAGAAGTAAGGAATACGACAGTGTGCAAAAAACAACTGTACATTACGAGTTCACATTTCAAGCATAGAACAATTCGCATATATACATGGGATTGCTGATGAAGATCGCAGATCTTTGTAGGACTATGTGCCAGCTGAACAAAGTCTGAAGAATTCTGGAATGGACACAAGAGCAGAAAAGAGAAATAAATGATGCTTCCTTGATAATTTTTAACTTTCTGAAAATGGCAGTATACAGAATTCTTGATACTTTTCCAAAAATATTAAATGACTGCCTTCCTGAATGGATCTCTGTGTCATCAAGAAAAAAATCAATTGATAATATCTGGCACATCTTATTTCTTAATTGTCATATACCAGCAGTAACAGAATATATAGGCAACAGTTGTAATTATTTGCCCTTATTAACTAGTAACTATTCACAATAAACTGTATATTCAATAATATATATATAGTCTCTGCTTTCATTTGTTTTAACTTTGTTTCACTACTGAAGCTTTCTAATAATATTACTAAATGTTATTTGTAAAATGTTATTTGTAAATAATGTTTCTACAATTTTCACATGCTACATATGCACCTACACTCTCTGGATACCAAACTTGGTAACCTATATGACAAGCATGTATAATGAAGGTTTCAACCCCAACATTCAAGGGGTATTCTTCATTCTACACATTCCTGGTTAAATGCAGCCATGGACATGATTCATGAATCCATGTAAAAAATGACTAATGCATTGTTAAATAGGAAGAAACCAAATATGAAGCATCACACATATTTACAAAAACTTGTTATCATTCAGATTTGCACCTCTGATATGGTCTTTTGATTTTTTTAAATCTGAATCAGTGAACCTCAAACTATTGTACTTATTTGCAAGGGTGGTCATTATTTTAACAATAAGAGGAGAAAATAATCTCTTATTGCAAGCAACATGCTTTCCCTCACTTCTCCTTCCATTACCATTCAATTGATTAAGTTGTTATCAATGTATATACAGTAAAGTGTCACTTATTTGCAGAGTCTTGAGCAAATACAGTTTACTATACAGAAAGACTGTCATATATCTATATACATGTCAAAATTTATGTCTCTCTATTGTGGAAAGGTATGAATAAGAACAAATATCTTCACAATACAAGAGATGTATTTAACCGGTTTTGATTAAATCTTTGGCAGAAATACATGTATTTCTGACGAAGATATAATCAAAAACGGTTAAATACATCTCATGTACTGTGAAGATATTCGTTCTCATTCATACCTTTCCACATTTGTCAACATGAATACAGTTCATGTCTCTCTATATCCTGCTGTTTGATTCCAGAGCTAGATTTAGGAACAGACACAATGGTCCATGCCTTGATTCTTACAGTATAACTCAGTTAAAGAAGCACTAATCATGCATGTGCAGAAATATATCTGGCATAAAGTAAAGTGAAACTTTTTAAAATCTGAACTTGCATGTTATGTGCAATACTTTCTAGGATTTATCACCATACTAACAACAAAGGCAAAATAAATAATGTGCGCCTATCCCAACTATGAAAGATAATTCACTTATTTCTGGGAGTCAATGACACATTCTTTTAAAACAAAAAGATCTCTAAATATCTATATACTAAAACCTGAAGGTCAGAAACTTAAAGCTACCCTAGTCAGACTACACCACATATGGCACGGACTAAGAATTAGTGCGATCAGCCTTTGGACTTTCTTGGCCTTATTTTCTTTCTTTCTCAGGTCAAGGAAATGAGAATAAAGTGATGAGCAAAATTCTCTTCACCTAAATATGTATTAATGATGACCATAACATAAACAAACTGATATGACTGCAAATTCTTCCAACTCTACACAGACTCCCATTTCATAACAATATATAAAAATAATAATAATAATAAAAAATATTCAAGGAAAGTGGCAATCCCAAATTGAGTATAGTGAGGCTCGAAGGCATATCGCAACACACTTAGCAACATAGCAGGCACTTGTCAAATAGCATTCTTCTGGCAAGCATAAAAATGTGCTATGGTGTATCTTTCCTTACATCCTCTTCCTTTTACATTGGTATTTTGGTATTTCATAACTGGAGGGCAAAAATACATTGCTAATTTTTTATACATATACATAGAGAGAGCTCTACCAGAGCTTAATCACCCAGGGGTCAATTATTAGTCTTACTTGATCATACTGTTTTTCCTGATTTTTTAAATTATTTCCATCTTTTATATTTTGTAACTGGTTTGGTAATACTATAACAATCCCAATATCCACAATAATAATCATAAAAACACTAATGCTATTAACCCACTAACGTGAGTATATTTTGAAGCCAAAAATAAAAGTTTCCGGGCAGCCACAAAATCAGCCCTGATACAGCGTCACACTGTAACAGGTGTCTCAAATGTGGGACACCCATCACTAGTGGGTTAATAGCATTGGAAAAAAAAGAAAATTAAGTCAAATAGGCCTACTGACTAAGCCTTTGTGGAGCCATCAGAGTATGAAAACAAAATTCACCAAACAAAACTCCAGTAGACAGCGCAATTACCTAGCACCAATGCACCATCCCTCACAAGATGTCCATTAAGTTTATAGCAAAGCTCTTGGAAGCCATTTAAATATGGCATGCATTTGGAAGTTCCTGTCTGAGGCTGTGCATCTTCAAGGATACCCCATCATCCCATCCACTACCCCACCCCCTAGCATCCCCTATATATTCCCTAGTAGCTGGTACAAAAAATATCCATCTTATATGCAAGTTTATCTATGTTCATGGGAAAACTATGGTGATTTTGAAAGGTTACAACACGTTATTTTTGGGCATTTTGACCATAACTTTTACCAAAAGGTGTAAAAAACTGTTTTACAACTTGAGAAGAACCCTTTTTTAAAATTCATGTTGGGTTTTTAACTCTTCATGCAGATCATGTCTACTTTGATTTTAGGTCATTAATTGTATTTACGGAGATGGCTATGTAAGTGCTCACCTGTTTACCCTTTACCTTGTTTTTCATTTTTTTTTTTTTTTTTTTTTTTTTTTCGATTTCATCATTTTTTGGTTATCAATATTCCATCCACATTATATCAATTATAATGTTAATAATCATCATTATTATACAGGTATAGTCACTAGGGCCTACTGATTGACTCTTTCATGGATGAGCACTTGTGGAACCATCTGTATACAACAAAATTCACAATAAACTATAGTGGATAGTACGTTATTCCAGAGCCAATGGGTTAAAAACATCAAATACACATAACGCAGGATGTCTTCCACAAACGTGAGTTGACAAACTGAAAAACAAATTTATGATCTATCCCTTTACATAAAAACAAAAAAAATCTACTTTTACCATAAGGGTTCTCCACTTTACTAATTCTTAAGTTCATGCTTCAAAATATATAGCAACTAATTATGATATGAGACTCATTTTGCATAATGTAATACCACAGCATAACATCCTATTTCAGCTTCAATTATTAATCTGGGGTGATTACATAAACATGGTAAAATACTTGAAAAAATGCGAACTTAGTTTTCTTTTCCTGGAAGGAAATAAAAAATACATCCCACCTGTCACATGTTTTATATCTGAAAATCAATGCAACATTCTTTCCTTTGCAGCCCTTCTTCACTTCTTCAAAAGTCAACCCACATATAAAATCATTACCTCTGTCATTATTCTAAAACCAAATACTAATTCAGAGACGTGTCCAAACCCCTTCAAGGTCACTCCCTTCAACCTGCTGAATCAGCTGATCATGCCCCACCTGTCAGATGGCTCGATGGTCAGCCCTCCGCAAGTGAGGTATGATTAGCTGATCCTGATCCTTAGGAACTGAGTGAGAGAGACTGTTTTTTTTTTGTAGGTGTGGGTGTGGATGTGGATGTGTGGGAGTGGGTGTGGATATGTGTGGGTGTGGATATGTGTGGGTGTGGATATGTATGTGTGGGTGTGGATATGTATGTGTGCGTGTGGATATGTATGTGTGCGTGTGGATATGTATGTGTGCGTGTGGATATGTGGAAATGTGTGCGTGTGCGTGTGCGTGTGGTGTGCGTGTGCGTGTGCGTGTGCGTGTCCATGTGCATGCGCAGAGAGAGGGAGGAGGGGGGGGGGGGAGAGAAGAGAGAGAGAGAGAGAGAGAGAGAGAGAGAATGAGAGAGAGAGAGAGAGAGAGAGAGAGAGAGAGAGAGAGAGAGAGAGAGAGAGAGAGAGAGAGAGAGAGAGAGAGAGAAATAAAAGAAACCAATCTCTTGTAAACTTCCCTTCAGTGCCAATAACCTGCGAACCTATCCTAAACAAAATCTGCAACACATCTAAAACCCAGATGGCTACCTGAACTACACCGAAGTGCTCCTGACTATGAGACACAGGAGGTAATGGAGGCCGTCCTTCATTAATGGTCTGTGTTGTAGAGTCTTCTGATGTGGTGCGCCCAACTCCTGGGTGGTGGTGGTGGGTGACGTTGGCAGTGGCAGATATGGGTTGGGAAGCAGTAGCCGCATTAGCAACTTCCAGGGGTTCCTCTCCATACACTAAGTAGCTTGCACCCTGGGTGGTGGTTAGGATATGCTGCTTTCTGCCATCATTGCTTACTACAGGCAAATACATGCACTCTCTCACACACACACAAATTACTTCCATTAATCTAAATCAAACTACAGATATGATGACAAAGCTTGTATGCTTTTTGTGTTTAGAAAATAAAAATTAAGTAAAGGGACAGGGAGAGGGAGAGGAAAAAGGTTGTAGAGCGAAAAATGTTCA